CGCAGCCCCCCCGCATCCCTCCTCTGTGCAAATCAAAGCCCTTTCCACCACACAAGGCAGCTACGCGGATCGCGCTCGATGCAAAGCAGATTGTCATGACAATTGGCCGGGCGGCCAGGGCAGCTCAGCCCAGTCCCAGGGCGCTGCTGGAGCCGGCGGCCCCCTCCGCGCTGGCAAGGAATGGGGGGCCTGGGTCAGAGACTGCGGCTTTAGCTCCCGTTGCCCCAAAAGACACGGCGCCGATGCTTGGCGGGAGGTGCCAGCCACGGGCAGTCCTATGCACTAGCCCTTGGACAGAATTCGGCAGTGCCACACATCAGGCATTTTAGATTCCTCCAATTTGTGTGTGTGCACACGTGCGGTTTGTCGTTTGGTGGGTTTTTTTTGTCATTGTGTTGTTTGTTTGGTTTTTTTTTTTCCTCTTTTTAAGAACAGCAAAAAAATATTCTTTACAAAACCGTATTTGCCCAAAGCGGATGCGCTAGTGCTTGTGGCTCTGCTGGCCCGCCAAGTCAGTACGCGAAGCCCTCCGCGTAGGGAAGGCTGCCACAGGGATCCATCTCCAGGAGGTACGCCGGGCTGTCCTCGAAGTGCGTCAGTGGCACTGTCTCCTCCTCGGCAACTGGGCAGTCGGGCTCCGTCTTCAGGAAGGGACGCTGGTTGTCAGGGTAGGCCATGGAAAAGAGGGCGTCGGGGTCGCAGACGAACTTATAGACGTACCGCTCGCCAGCCACCTGCGAGGAGAAGGAGGGATGAGAGGTGCCCTGCACTTTCCCCCCCGGGGAGTAACACACCCGGTGCGACTGATTCTGCACTGTGCCCCAGGATGATGGGGTGATGGCAGGGGATGGTCACATTCCCCCTGTGACAGTGGGTCACTCGCCTTCTGCATGATGCCCTTCTCGTAGTAGTAGCGCAGGGAGCGGCTGAGCTTGTCGTAGTTCATGGCCGGCCGGTTCTTCTGGATGCCCCAGCGCCGCGCTACCTGCGGGGAAGAGAGGTGGCAGCCGTGAAGGCTCCAGCTGAGGCTCTGAGCTGGATCCTCGAAGGAAATCACAACCAAAATGTAGGGTCAGGGGTTGGTTCTGGGGGTTGGAGCAGCCAGGGGTAAAAGTGTCACCGCAGTCCCGGAGCGATTCCCCGCCTGCTGTGATAAACGCTCCAGCTCCGAGCGCCAGCTGCCACAACGCCGCCACTGCCAAACCGGGGGCCGAATTCAAAAGACATTTGATTAGGGGAGCCTGCCAAAAAAGCCGCTTCAAAAAACCACAATTTCCATGCACGGCCTAAGAGATATTATGGGTAATTACCCACAATGCGCAGCTCGGTGCTACAGCTGCTTTCAATTACTCCCCAAACAGCTTTTTCCTCTGTGTCACCCTCCTGCAGAGCCACACAGCTCCGGCACAGCACTGCGCCACCACCGGGGACCCACGGCAAAGGATCAAAGGATCGGAGCAGTTTGGGAGGGATGGAGCCATGGCTGAGCAGCGGGTCTCCGCAAGGCGCCCAAGGTGGGGCACAGCAGCAACGCCACTGCGGCTGGTGACGGCCAGCGGCTCCGGGAGCAGAGCGCCTGTCGTGCTGAGAGGCAGTGGAGGAGATTAAAGGCAAATTTCTATGGCTGCTGAGTGCAGGCGCGAGGCTGGCTTTTCCCTTCTCGCCCTCAAAAGCTGCCCAGAGAGTGAAGACATGTGTCCAAACATGAAGTGCTGTGTGGGAAGGATCCGGCCACCCCCACCCTGCACATCCCCAGGCTGCTCCCGGGCTGCAGCCCCCAGCTCTGGCATGTCGGACGCTGGGGTGGGACACTCCCTCACCCCCGTACCTCCTCGGGCTCAATCAGCTTGAACTCCATGCCCCGGCCGGTCCAGGCGATGAAGTGTGCGTTGGCGGGGTCGTCCAGGAGGGTGACCAGGAACTGCCAGAGCTGCAGGGACCCGCGCCGCTGGTAGGGAGGGCCCTCACGGTACAGGGTGGGCTCCTGCTTCACTTTACCTGCCCGCACCGAGACACAGGGGGTTAAATGCCCTGGCTCTGCCCCTCTCCCGGGCTGCGCCCCTTGGCGGGGGACACGAACAGGGACTCCCCCCCAGCCCTATGCATGCAGGCGAGGCGTGGGGTGGGTGGCAGGGAAGGGGACAAGACATGGGAGCGATGCCGAGCAGCCGCACAGGATGATGCTCGGCAGCTCACAAGAGCACCACGCCAGCACAGCTTGGCCTTAAAAGCCAGCTACTGTGCAGCCCGGCCTCGGGTCTCCCTCCACGAGCCCTGGTCACCGCCCAGCCCGCCTCTGGGGCCGGATTCTTACCCTCCAGCCTCTCTGGTACCACGCACGTGTCATCAAAATACAATCGTGTGTCCTTTTCATAAGAAAATCCTAGGGGGAAAAAAGATGCTCGGTGAGCACAGGGCACCTCCACCACCCCAGCTGGACCCGAAAACCCACAAGTTTGGCCCCTTCCAGCACCAAGACCCCACCCCCAGTTATTTTGGTGGCACCGCACCGGCTAAGCGCCACACAGCTCTGTTCCCCCCTCACTCCAGGGAGCTGGGAGAACCAAAACCCTCTTAGCGGCTATATCGAGCATGTTATCCCGGATTACGCGGCACTGCCATGCCCTCATGGCACGCTCGCAGGGGCTGGCGGCTGCGTGGCACAGGCCCTATTTTTAGCAGCGGTGCCGGTGCTGCTCGCATGCAGGCTCTCCCGGGCACCACGGGGCTCTCACGGGTGTTTTTCGGGGTGCCTTGCAGCTCTGCCAGCCTTCAGGGGGGGTCTGCCTGCCCCAAGGGAGGGATGGTACGGGACACGCTGGGGATGCCGGTGAGTGGGAGAGGGCCGGGGGTGCACTCACCGTCATGGCTGCTGGGGAAGACGCCCCCCCGCAGGTAGGAGGACTGGCAGTTAGGCACTTCTGTGAGGGAGAGGAATGCAGCGTTAAGGATGTATGTCCCGTGGATCCCACCGAGTGCTTGGCAGCATCTTCCCCCCCAAGCACACCCTGCGCCACTGCGCCCACCCCCAGCCATTTTGGGGGAAAACCAGTACGATTTGGGGGGAGGCATCACCGCACCTCCCCTGCCATCTGCTGGGCCGTGCCACCCTCCATCCCGAGGTCGGGGTATTTTTAGGCCCTAAGGCGATTAGAGGATTTTTCTGTGATGCTGGTGGGGTCCAGCAGCCAGAAAACACAGCTGGCCCCAGGCCAGGGCTGCAGGGGGGACCCGCCGGGTGCCACAGGGCACCCCAGCCCATGGCAATGGCACACACCACACTGCACAGCATACGGTGAATGTCTGCTCTATCCCCCTGCACCCCCCAGCTTTGGAAAGGAAAGAGAAGGGGGAAGAAAGAAAAGAGCCCATCTACCCGGTTGGTCGGCAGCCCGGCACCGTAAGAGCCCTGGAGTGATGCAGCACCCGCTGCCCGAGGCTCAACCTGCCGTGCTGCTGCCTGTGTAACCCACACCGCCCTGGGCACTGGCACCCGACCACCACAAGAACCCACCTGAGTCGATGCAGTAGTCCCGGGGCTCCTGCTTGATGCCCATGGGGGGCTGGAAGCCATGGCCAGGGGGGCCGGGCAGGCTGGGGCCGCC